TGCAAATTTTTGAATCTACCAAAAATGGCAAATTTTACATAGCTTTATTTTATTCAGTGTCACCTTGAGGAGAAAAGTATATGAAATAACTTCGAAAGTCTAAATTTTGAAGAACAATGGTGTTCGCTGCGTTCGTTTTGGTCAGAAAGTTTTTGGCCCACATGAGTGTGAAGAGGTGCACCTTTTTTTAATTTCACAAAATTTAACAAATTATTGTGCTCCATACCCAAAACCAAAATTTTACATTCTAACTTTGGGTCATGAGGAGTACCACATGAAAAATTTTCATCAAAATCGGAGGGGGTCATGCTCCAGCCTCTGGCTGATTTGAGATGGAATTACCCTGGTATTTGTACTTTATCATCATTTTACAAAAGATAAATTACCCTTGTGTGTGCATCTGTTCTGCCATTCTTGTGCCTTGCCCCTCCCTGGGAATAAACCAGCGGATGCCCATGCCCTCTGATATCATATGATACTCTAGCTTGATGTATCTAAGAACATTTTGGGCTTTTTTGGGACTGCATGGATAGCATGGCCTTGTGGCCAGTCTTGAATGAACTTAGATCAGTAGTTAATGAGGCTGTATTTGATTAAGCCCTCTGTATAAGTGGTAGAAAATTTAAGAAGGATCCATCAAAGGGGGCCTTGGGGAGTGAAGCCATCCTACTGTATTTATAATATAAAAAGATAAAATTAGGACTGGTGAGAGAAAAAATCAGGCTATAACAACCACTGGTGTAAAATCAGCCACTATCACTCTCCTTTTGCTCTTGAATCATTCCTTATCTACCTTGGGTATGATTATTGGCTGGGCTAGGAATAATACAAGGACTAAGTTGATCTCTACAAAGAAAATGGCCAAGCATAGTACCAAGTCTATGACATGGATCGATCTGCAACCAATCCATCAGGCCAAGTTGTAAAAATTTGATTTGCACAGATCTCTATTCTAGAGGAAGAGCTTATGTAGAACAAATTCAAGGCGATGCACCTGAATTGTTCTGCCTTGAATACCTTAACCTTGTGTGTACTTGAGCTAGACTCAGGTCATTCATGACTGATCATTTGGTTTTTTTCCTATGCAGAGGCCAGGAGAGTGCAGGGATAGTAATGTCAGAGGGTGGAGGAAACTCATTCAGGATTCACAAGGGCAATGGGCTTGTGAGCAATGTCTTTACCTCAGACATTCTTTCCCAGCTTCCAGGTTCTCATTTACACATCCTAGGCCTACTGTAGGCTTATAATGTTCCAATTTGGCTGTGTAGACACAGAGATCTTTTATGGAATAATTTTGATTTACATTGTTTTATAAGGTCAAATACATTGGATGTATAGGAAATCTGGGGATAGGGCATACAAGATATTCAACAGTTGGTGGGATCGACTCAACCAACACTCAACCATTTGTTGTTCACACGGCTGATGGACCACTTGCCGTGGCTCACAATGGAGAGATTGTGAATGTTGAGCCTCTGCGGAAAATGGTAAAAATTGTGGTTTTATTGTTCAATCTTCATTTGATCCCTGAATGCTGAACCATTATTATTAACTTATTTTACTAATTGCAATGGATTTGATGGATTTCTCAGGTTTATGCCAAGGGAGTGGGTTTGTCAAGCCTGTCAGACAGTGAGCTCATCACCCAGATCTTGTGCTTGGTTCCACCCAATGGGTCTGGGACAGCCTTGTGCATGGACTGGCCATCTCGAATTACACATCTCATGCATCTCACCCCTCTCTCCTATTCACTCCTCATTCTCCATGGAAATTCTATTTATGGGGTGCGGGATCTGTTTGGAAATCGACCACTGTGTCTTGGGCGCATTCATCATCCCTTCGACATTCATGGTGGTTAGTCATTCTCAATGTCATGTTCCTTGTAAATTCTAGAAGACTTTGATGAAGATGTAAGTTAGCAATTCTCAATTGGAAAATGGAGACTTAAGGTCATGTTTTGGCTACTTTGAGATCTTCTGAAATGTTGATTGCATAACCAGTTTGACAATTTAAGTCTTTATAATTTAGCATGTGTTTTGACAGATGGTAGAGTTGATATTTGCCTGCCTTTTCCACAGAGTAAAATTCGAAAGAAAAAGTCAAGTTTTTCTCTCATTTCCCCTTTATTGGCAAGAATAGACTATTTCAGCACACCAGAAAACACTATTCATAAATTAATGATCCCCTCTTCAGATTTTTTTTTACCAATCCCAACAATTTTCAAGGACAATTATTTTCTCAGGACAGTTCATGTTTTATAGGTATAAATTCTATCTGAATATAATGTTCCAAAGGCAATCAAGACTCTGTAATGCTGAGAAGCTATCTGATTTTTTAAAGTTATGTTGATGGTCAGTTCTGTGGTCAGTTGATGCCAGTCAGCATTAATTTGTTGACTGGCATCAACTGACTAGAGAATAGCATTAGTTTAAGTTTCTACTCCTTTGTGAAATGCTGGAAACTTTTCTCTAAAGGAGAAGGAAACAAGGGAGTGAGTCACCCACAAACAAATACTGAAAGGACCCTTGGTTGGGTGATCTCATCAGAATCATGTGCATTCCAATGCATGGGGGCAGAGTTCATGAGAGAAGTGGAACCAGGAGAGCTGGTAGAGATCTCCTCATCTGGGATTCGCTCACTTTGTGTCGTCCAGCTGCCACATCCCAAATCCACTGCACTCTGCATCTTTGAATATGTCTACTTCTCCAGGCCTGATACCTTCCTTGAGGGTCTGGAAACATTTTCCAAACAACATGGATGTTGTCGTTGGCTGAAGTTCTTGATTGTTCATATTATTGATGCACAGGTCAACAAGTATGGAAGGTGAGAGAGCGCTGTGGGAAGGAGCTGGCAATTGAGGCTCCTGTTGAGGCTGACATTGTGTCCACTGTCCCTGAGTCTGCTACTCCAGCTGCTCTGGGATTCGCTCAGCATGTAAGAGATTCTTTATGCATTTCTTTGCCATTGACCACTGTGTTGTCCAGTTCACCTTAATGTGTACACTAGGATTCACACTCCTTACAAGAGTGTACAGTTCAGCAGAAGACATGTCATTTGTTGGTGCTCTAATGACAAGAAAAGCTCATCTCATGACCATGAAGAAAACTGGAGGTCTTGAGGGTCTCCTGTATAAGCTGAATGTGTACACAACTGAATCATACAAATGGCACACCAGCAGGAAGGGTATTGGAGTTCATGAAGACCTTATATCATCATGATCATTCTAAGATGGATCACAAAGTTCCAAATCCTGTACTTGGATCTCTGTTGTGATTGAACAAAAAATGGTCTTGCATTACAAAACCTTTGTCTATCCCAAACTTGGATTCCCATATGCATCTTTGCAGATAGGGCTTTGGTTTAGACAAATAGAAGACACTCCTCAACTTATGGAGTTCTCATGGAGTGATGAATATTTAGAAAAAGTCCATATAGTATAGCAAAGAAAGACCCCTGACTTTGAACTCTTACTAAAGATAATCATTTCACAAAACATGCATTGTGCAACAGTTAATGTGTTTTCAACAAACTGGAGACTTCTCCCTGAAGTGCATTGTGTCAAAGAAAGGCCATGAATGATTATTTAAGGAAATTGGGAATTTGAAATGAGCTGGAATGTTCTATTCCCTTCAAGGTGACTTCACTTTGCCTCTTACCTTCTCTTATGTGAATAAGGGGAAACTCTGAAGAAACCTAAAGTAAACTGTCTTATTGATTAATACTTATTCACTCATCATGGATTCAGGATACAACTAATCTAAGCCATTTTCAAGGAAAGTGGAGTCAGGAGAAGTTGTATTGAAAGAGATGTTTACTGTGACTTCCATGATGTGCTGCCACAAGGTGAAGGAGCTTCCTTCTCTCTGTATCCAGCATAGATTCCCTTTTTGTTTTCATTAGCACTTTTTATGAGTAATTTCTCATTGCCTTCTTATTTTTGAAAAATGATTTTGATTTGAATTGAAGTCTGAAATTCATTTGGAAACACATCTTGAAGAGTCATTGAGAACTTGATTTGACTTTGCTCATGAAAAACTTCATTTTATAATGGTGCGTTGTGTGCAGGAAAAATGAGAGTTGGAACTCATATTTACTTTTAACATAGACTCCCATATTGAATTCTATCTGTTGCTCAGGAGTAGAAAAAGTTTAAGAACATCTGATCAGGATATTGTTTTCCCCCACTTTAGTAAGGCCAAATCACTTACTGCTTACTGCAATATGTCCAATTGTAGTAGACCTTCATGGTAGTCATGCTGATCATAACACTAGCAGTATTAATGAGCTAGCCATTTAGGAGAGCAAATATATAATTTACTATCATCCCTATTTTACACAAGTCTTATGTCTTGTTAATAATCCTACCTTATAAAAATATTTTACATTTTGATTTAATTGATGCTGATCATTTCTCTGACTAAGTTCTCGAAATGAGCTTTTCTTTTGTTTAGCTGGGGATTCCATACACAGAAGTGTTCAGCAAGAACCGCTATGTGGGTCGGACATTCATTCAACCAACAACACAGTCCCGAAGGCTGGGAGTAACAAAGAAGTTTGGAGCCCTTAGGGAGAACCTTGAAGGTCGACGGGTAGTCATTGTGGATGATTCCATTGTTCGGGGGACCACCATTGGACCCATAATTAAGATGCTTAAACAAGCTGGTGCTCGAGAGGTTTGCCCTTACCTCCTCTTACCTGTCTCCAATTTTCAATTACTTGTTTCCCTTTGATTCTTTCCACATATCTACAGGTTCATGTGAGGATTGCTTCTCCCCCAATCCGCTTCCCCTGTCGAATGGGAATCCATATTCCAACCAAGACTGAGCTCATTGCCAATATCAAGTCTCCCGAAGGATTGGCAGATTCTACAGGTAAGAGACAGAGCTTGAAGAACTGAAGGTTGGATTTAAACTATTTTTTTGGACAGCAGCCCCTAGGTTGTCTAAGTTCATTTGCCATTTGAGAATATAATATGTTGAAAGTTTGCATTTCATGAGTGCAATTTGCAAAGTATGTTTTATTTGCATTCTATGCATGCTTGAGTCAGTGTTGGTTCAATCTGACTTGATGCCTAATGTTGGGATACAATAGCAAACTCATAAGAGGCGGCTTTAGAGGCAAGGGGAAACCTTCCTGATGACAAATACATATATAGGTTTTGGCACACTGTTGCTTTGTGCTTGAATGAACAAGCACAGCTTTAAATTGGCATCCATATATGTTTGAGTGATGAGCAATAGCTTAGTTCTTCCTATATTATTGCCATCATACAGTATCCCTTTTTTTTTGTTGCAAATGTGCATGCCTTGTGCTATACTGACTTACCAGAAAGGGACTGTAACTCAAGTCATAAACTGTAAGGCTGACAGGTGTGAATCTGCTTTTTGAAAATTACCCATAAATCTGACTGGCCCATTTCTAGGGACTCAGGCAAGAATGCAAGACAGCCATAAAATTGGCAAGGTCTTTTTGTTGATGCATGTTGAAAGTGATTAAGATTGTAACTTCAACATTTTTCAGCTTTGTATATGGTTATTGCAGTACTGATTGTCCTGCCACTTTTTTCTGGAATCTTTCATTAGCATAAACCCATATTACATCAATCATATATTGCCAATGTGAAGTTCCCTATGGAACTATCCAAATTCCTGACCTGAGACCATTTGCATATCCTTTTGCTTGTAGTTGATTGATTTGCTGGATGTTGAACTCGTCTTGAATGTGCTTAAAACAGGAGCTGCAAGCCTGGTGTACCTCAGCATAGAGGGATTGGAGAAGGCAGTGAAAGAAGGAATAAATGATACCCAGGGTCGGGAGAGACAGGGACATTGCACTGCCTGCCTCACAGGTAAATACCCCGTTGATCTTGAATGGTAACTTGTCTTTCAACTTCCTAGGATCTCATGTGGGTGCAGCATCACAGTGCAATCAGTTTTTATGGAATATCTTGCATGTGCCAGTCTCTTTCTGTATACTGTGTAACTCGGTTATTTCTCTTTTTTAAATTGCTTGTGATTCATCTCAGGGATCCAATGAAATTCATTATGCCCACATCTCTTTAATGCATGCCAAATATGTCTTGAAACAATTACTTATTCTCCAAGGTGGCTTTGTCCTTATTTCCGTAGTTGAATGCAATTGTAACCTGTGAATGCTAATCCATGAAAAAAACCACATGAATAGAGAGGAAAATGAAATGGAAATGTAATCTGTGGCATCATGCATGAGGTAAAAGAAAGGAAAAAACTCAGTGTGTAAAGCAGGACCTAGAAATGTGTATAGTGAAAGGAGATTAAGATGTCATTGGCCAAGGACACCAATGTTCTCATTCAGGAATGCTATGTCCTTTTTGATGTACATCATGAGGAATCGCCACACCTTGTTATATGCAGTACCTGTTTGTGATCAAGAAGTGCAATAATTAAGTCTTAAATTTGCTATTTCTTATTGTAAGCAGATAAGGTATATGGAAGCTAACTACCTGGGATTAAGATCTTTTGTGATACCTCAGGTCCATTGTCAGCGGTCTTCTGTGGCTGCTGAAAGCGTTTTCACAATATTGAATATTTTTGAAGGTCCATGATGATCATAAATAGGTTTGGCACTATTTTTTTTTTACAATGAATGAATTTCTTGTTATGTGGAAATTGTTGTTTTATTTCGCTACAAAGCTCAGTGAAATTCAATTTCATCATATCTAGTTATCTAGAAAGTCTTTGAGCATTTGAAGTTTAGTACTCACGTAATTTGCACTTGAATTTGCATCAGACTTGAATGTGAGGCTTACTGCTTATTATGCTGACTAGGGCAATGAATTGAGAAAAAAAAAGGAGGAGTAGCTCATATGCTCTATTGTAGGTGTTCAACAAAATAAGTATTTATATATATATTTTTTAACCTTGCTTTATTGTGTCAAGTTATTAAATTTTCTGGTGTTAGTTGAAGTTTCCTTACACAACTGTAGTAAGTTGTTTTTTCTCAATGCATTTCCAAAATAAAGCATGAAAGTTTAGGTGTAGATGTGTGATGAGACAAAGGCAGCTTTTTTTTCTGTCAGATAAATTCATTTAAATGCCCACTATTTCACAGCATTTCAGAAAGTGACTTTCAAGCTATTGCCTATAGGTTATATGAACTGTCTGTTTTCTCTCATTTCGTTTCAAGTAACCTGTCCACCAAGTTTCATTGAATCTACATCAAATTTAACTTCAAGATATCATTGGGGAGAATTGTATGCATTATCAAAGATGATGTAGTCATTTACACAAACTCCAATGGTGACCAGAAGAATCGTGTAGTCAGGAGTATATTAGTTGGAAACATTGCCATTTTCTGCATTATTCAATTATTTAACAATTACGATGGGAATAATGAAGTGACTTTTCACGCCATAATATTCAATACATGAGATTGTGTTGTTAAGGAAACAGACAAAGTTTCATGATTTTTTCCAACGCTTAAATGTTGACTTTGCATTCGTTCAGTACTCGACTGTTACATAACCAAACCTTGAGTGTCAGGCTGGAAGATATGGTATGCAATTTGGGAAAGAGGAAGGAAAGTGAATAGCGAATGAAAAGGCTGTGGTCGTACCTTTCCTGCTCTGAGTCGTGATCGGTTGAATCCTGATGAAGAATGAGTCTCTCTTCCCTGTTAAGTAATGTAAGAATCGTTGCATCATCTCCATCATCATCTGTGGTAAAATTTCTATAATTGAATATATAAGCCAAGAAGACTGGCGCACAAACAGTAGGGTGTTCTGAACCGGTGCTTTCTTGGATCTTACTCTCCTTTTCCCCCCCAGTTTCGAACTGACATCCTTTTCGGAGCATCCCTGTGAGGTTTCAGATGAGGGAAACATCAAAGGATGTGTCAGTATAGAGAAAGAAGCAACTTTAGGGATTCCAAATGACCTCGATCTTCCTGGACTTGTGGCATCCATGAATGACGCAGTCCCTCATTACCTCCTCTGAAAGAGAAAAAGTGACCCACATATGTGAGAGGGAGGAGACTAATCTCAAAACACGTCATGCCGCACCCATAATTTCGCCAAGCCCATTTCCGAGTTTTCACTTTGGCCAATTCACTTGTTGGACATCTTGACACGCGAACTCTGTCTTTCTGGGCCGTTCTATTTCAGAGATCCACCGGGTTATAATTATGGGTTGATGGTTTCACTCTTTTCTCCTTAACGCGATTATTGTTCTTGTTGGAACAACGAGATTCACTAATGGTACCAAGCATTTGGTGTCAGACTCTGATTAATGCCCAATTAGTTTTTTTTTTCTTCAAGAATGGAAGTGCTACAGTACTAGTTGAAAAAATAAGGGTGCTAGACTAACACGGCAAAAGGTTGGGTGGATCACGGTCCGTCCTGTCCATCAAACTGATGAACTAGCACAAACGCTGATGTTGCATTTGCAAGTGATTCGCACGAAATTCTTCGAACGATCATGTCTCCAAAACTGGAACCATTTTAACCTTCCATTTCCGTAGTTCCCTTACCTCCTCATATTCGGTTTCAGATGTGCTGGGCTCATGTATCATACGCACACATACTCATCGACGAAATTTCGCCATGATTAATGTTATTGAACTATCTTTTAAAAAGCAATTGTGTTGTTTTAATGGATACATTTCTCACGAATAAGGTACATACGTTTCTGATGTAGAAGTGCATTTCCAACTTCTCACATTTTGCCAGATCCTCTTACTTGATGACAGAATCATGATACTTTTGAAATTCAGGGCCACAAGGGCTGGGCTAGTTTTCATCATGAATGGGTAATAGGAAGGATGGTGGAATCGACAAGCCCCACCGCTCAGCAGTGAAATTTAAAAAGCCGGTGTTCGGTGGAATTTCACACACCCCAGACATTAATTATTGAACATGAATGGGAAAAAAAGTGTGATTAAATTGCCTGAAATAAGAATATTTTCATATTTTTTACTACTTACCGTTAAAATGATTCATCTTCTTGTAATGAAGTTATGCTATAAAAGCAATAAATATATTATTGAAAGCGAGTTCCTACAATAGCCCTAAAATTGATTAGGGTCTATCACACACGTTGTTAACGTCATCGGAGATTCATTCCCTCCAAGATAGACATCAGACGAGGGTCTGACCAAGGCGGAAACTTTGGAAACTTCTACTTAAGATCATATCTGGAGAGGACGATGGGAAGAGGATTGCATAGACGTACCGGATTTCTGCTTTCTAGTTGTCCTTCGGATACGATCGACCGCCTTGCTATCCAGCTTTTCGGGAAGCTTTTCCTCTACCGTCACTCCCCTTCTTTGTGATCTACGATCGTTCAAAAAATAAAAATAAAAAGCAATATTACCAGATGGTACGCCTCCTTTACGTTGAAGTCACGTTATGGTGTGAAATATGAGGCTTCCAACCGCTCTCGCAGTCGATTCGGTGGTCCCATCTCATTTCGAGCCTTGTTCTTGGAAACTTCCTCGTCCGTGCTAAATTTCCCGCGTGGGCTGAGCGATCTCTCCAGCGCATTCATCTTCACATTCCTTGAATTGCAATCCATGAAACGAGGACTACCGATTCGCACGAAATGCATTTATATTTTCGAAACGTACCCAGTGGAGCTGCGAACTCGTGGTTCGTCCCTCCCCTTTCTCGTCTTCCTCGACTTCGCATCAGGCGCAGCTTCTTCAGAAAGTGCGGGTGAAAGGGAATTGTTATCGTTCGCAATGAATCCATCTGTCTCTATGTCACACGCTATGAACGGTCTGGGACTTTTCCTCGAGGGCAGGCACAAGAGGTTCCGCGAGGATTGGTAGTGATGGTTTACATTGGAGTTGTAGGAATCTTCGTCCGTTACCAAAGAAGTTTCATGGTTCGATGGGGTCGGAAGATCCTCGTGGTGGAAGGAATGGTAGGAAGGACTCTGGTGGGAATCATAGGACTGGTGGGAAGGACCTATTATGAGATGATGAGACTGGTGGGAAGTACATAATTGGAGCTGATGAGATCGGTGGGAAGGACACTGTTGAGCAAGAGAGGATCGGTGGAGAAAATCTATGTTCATGTTTCTGGGCAGGCCGTGTGGATTTCCATTAGAAAGATGGGATGGGCTAGATCGTGGATGATGGGGCAGATTGGGAGATCCCATTATGGTCTGAGGGCAGAAGCGAAGAGGCGGATTCCCTGTGGAAAAGTAGGAAGAGGAGCCGTGGGATTGGGACGGATACGCTGGAACGAAGTTGTACGCTGATGGTGCCGGTGTGGACGCTTCGCTTTCCAATTTAGAGGTCGCTTCCCGATCTAGAAGCTTCTCATCCACACCGTCTATTTTCCTGGCAGGACGGTGGGTCGCTTGTATTAATAAAAAATGACCCCATGAACTTTGTTTGATTGATGATGCTTACCCCGTGAGTGCGATGTCGGGAGGGATGGGGAGTTTCCTCTTCCTTCTTCGACCCCAGTGACCTCCTCGCCGGTCTCCCGACTTGGTTCTGCGGTCATCATACAGGGTGACCCAAAAAAGCCATACCGAGCTCGTTTTTGGGAGAGAGCTGGGAGGAGGTTGTTTTCAAAGTTTGGTATGGTTTTTTTTTTGGGTCACCCTGTACATGCCGCATTTCGTTTCCTCGGCGAAGCGGCTCATAGATGGGATCCCTTACCTCGTTTTGCGTTTGGGGACGTCAGGCTTTGTTTTTCCCGAAAGAGGATCCCATATCGCCTTCGAGGAGCTTGGAAGAATTTCCTTCTGGGTGAAGGAATGGCATTTCCGGCATTTGTAGCAGGAACACGCCCTGCCGGGTGCGTGTGACCGACACCCATCGATTCCCTAAGGAGAAGAAAAAGCGTGAGACTAGGAATG